TATGATAATTCTTGTACTCCAAAAACTTTCTTCTCAATAAAACCTTTTGAACTGTTGTTCTTGCTTTTTTTTTCTTGGGATCCGGGAATATTTTTTCGGGTTTTGCCATCTTAATGTTGGTTCATGAATATTAATTTTTTCTCCTTTTGGGTCCCTGATTTTTAATTTATACGAACATTACGTATTTCCCACCCCCTTCCGCTGACCGGTTGATCGCGGGCTCAGGAAAATGTGTCTATAAGTGACCATATAGTGGTCTTATGTCTTCATCAGTGCTAGAAAAATCCTGCTGTTTGGCTCCCAAGACGATGTTCTTCTTTACACCGGACCATATACAGCCAASATTATTTTCTTTTGCAACTTTCTGAAGCTTTAGAAGGGATTCATCAGGGCTGTACCTAGTAAGTAATTTTTTACACTAATCAAAATTTATCTTCAATTCTGATCAATCCCAGTTGAATAGTTCTGGGCTAGGAAGTTCAAAGCATTTAATCTAGGGTGAATTCCAACAAGTGGTTTTTAAGAGTTAACTCTGGATTATCTCTAGTCATGCTTTGAGTACCCTGCCCTGCATAAGACTGTATGCTTTACTTCTTAACCTGAGTAGATCATGAGGTATTATGGACAAAAAGCTTAATAATAGTCTTAAATACCAAGTGGTTTAATTGATTTAGTATCCACCTGTAAGAACTGTTGGACAATAGAACGAATTCGCATAACCAGCTTTTTAAATGCTAATGCGTTTTCTTAAATGCTAATTTTGCTAAACAATACAGGGACATGCTTCACGAACWTTGCAATAATAATCGGTCGTGTTGGTCTTATGATCATGGCTTGAAAATTACAATACACAAACAGCAAGTTTCAGYCAGCAACTATACTTTATTTTCACAATTTTTTTTCTTACAAATGAAACAGGCAGTTATTCAGTTCTTGAGCTTTTCTTCAATTTGTTTTAGGATTTGTTGGACACCATCCTTGTGCGCTTCCTGTGCTTCATCAGAAGTTTTCTTTCTCTTTCGTAACGGTGCGTTATCATCACGTTCGCCACCACTTTCGGAGGATGTGTCATCTCTCATTTCGTTTCTTAGCTTTAATTTCACAGCCTCAGTTTTGCGTTGACTTGGCGTCAAGCGTTTGGCGTGTCTCATCTCTTTACTCACAAGTAGCGAATCATTTATTAACGCCGAGGAAGGAGACGAGATTTTCGGCGAATTCTGTATGGCTTGTTTTACTATACGACTCCTTCTTCCATTCATGCGTTCTTCGGCTTGGGTAAGGTACAAATGTACAATATGTTCAGGAAGACCCGCCTCGTGTACATGCTGTTTTTTAAAAGTATTTTAAAACATTTGACCAATCTTTACCAGTGCACTTGTTGTAACACTGGACAACAAAGTCTCGCTCTTTGTCTCCGATAGTAACTCGCTTTCGGCGCGGTAACTCAACCAGTAGAATTTCTTGTACTGGAGAGTCGGTACTGACTGCAAAGGAAAAAAATACGGAAATATGAACGAATATGCACTATACACGTTATGATTCGTCACTGAAGTGATAAMACTMTTACCTTCCACTTGTTGCTCATCTAAAGCCCACGGCCCCATATTGAGCCCTACATTTTCTGAACGCTGAGAGCCAAACTTAATGCCTAACTGTGAGAAGGTTTTGCTGAACTTGGCATATGCAATGACACAAAATATATTGCATATCATAATCAGGCCATGCTAGGCATTATACGTTTTGCACTCAGGATTTTGCACGAACAATTGGATATGTTTTCATAGAAATTACAAGAGCACCTTTCCTTACAAGAAAAGAAATGGATTTACACGAAACACAACACATACTTCTGTTTCTACTAGCATTTCTATTACCTCTGACAGTAATACCACCTCCACCTCAGGAAGCTTGTAAGCTTTTACAACGACGTCTTTTCCCTAATTTTCATGGTTCTCGTTTTCGCGGAAGGGATGTATTCAACCTTATCGTAAATCAAGTATGGCGAGACCCCCAATTCTTTTGTACAGATAGTACGTGATATTTCACCATCACTCTTCCGATTAACTGTGGATGGTTGACAACGACTCCGCCAACGTCAACAAACGCTAAGTTTGGACAACCAAATTTTATTGGTCATGATGGTGGGAACTAGCGGTAAACTAGTGTGAGATGCGTCGGTCTTTACTCCGACGAAGGATTAACATCCGAAACGTCAGTAAGTTTTTCCACATACTTTTTTACGGTGTTAAATTTATCTTTTTACATAACTGTTTATTGGTCATGATTTGGTTAAGAAAATATCTACACGTCGATACCTTGGCGCTTTGGTTCGACATCGACCCGACGTCAGTGATAAGAATTTTACACAAAGTCATCCCAGAACTATGGCAGTATTTTAGGAATCAAATTGAATGGCCTACACTTCAAGAATGGACCAATATGATGGGAAACTGGCCAGAGTTTCCTAACGTAATTGGGGCAATAGATAGTACTCCACACAGGATATATCGTCYCTTAACAGAGCCTCAACGAATGTACTATAGTGGACACAGACATTATCACTGTATGCACACCCAGATAATCATTGACAATGAAGGACACATACGCTTCTTGCAGTCWKGATTTTTAGGACGGACTCATGATTCGCAATCGTTTAGACTAATGGGACCAATCGGGGCTTTACCTCCGAATGCGAMATTTCTGGCTGACAAGGGATATGTTGATGGTGGTCCTCTATTAACAGCAGTTAGCCCAAATAAAATGCGAGCTTTGAATGGGAGAGACAGTCGCAATGCCAGAAAGTTTAACAGAAGACATAGGAGACGGAGAGTCAAGGTTGAACATGTTATAAAAGAAGWGAAAACATTCAAAGCAGTTTCACAGTTATGGCGTCATCCTCGCTGGCTTATGCCAGTAGTCGTAGAACTTGCCGTTTTCCTAGCAGAAAGACGGCTGCGTCTGTTTCATGACACTTGCAATAGAAACTACATTTGTCATATCTGTATACTTCTCCATGCTCAATTGCTGCAAAAATAGCTAGTATCTTGGCTTCAGTCGAGATATAGCCTATAATTTTAATAGTAAAGTTTTCTTAGTCAATTGAGTATGTTCAATGACTTTTACGTTAGAGAATTAAAGCAGAAGAAATACATTTAGTACGTTTATCGTACAAAGTAATTAAATATCGTTACAGTTTGCAAGGTTTGTTTATATGTTGTTGTTTTTTCGATTCCTAATATGCACACAAAAGACCGGTAACAACATTAATAATCACTTTTGATTGCAAAATTCGTCAAGCATGTCCCTGTATTGTTTAGCAAAATTAGCATTTAAGAAAACGGATTAGCATTTAAAAAGTTGGTTATGCGAATTCGTTCTAATAGAACGATTTCGCGTAAGCGACTTTTTTAATGCAAATGAGTTTGAAAGTAAAATAGCATGTTAATGAGAAATTAACTCGTGGATWAAGATCATTACAACCCAGCTCGGTAGTTGCTCTGTGAAAACTKCACTTTTATCTTAGATTTACAGTAATAATCAGGCAGTGAACAACCGCTCAGAATTATAAAGGAGATAAATAATCCATTTCTCTATAATTCATTTGTTCATAATCTCATAACAAAAAAAACACTTGTGTATAATAATACATAAGTCTTTGTATTAAAAAAACCACAGTGTGAGTGTGTTTTTATTTCTTCTCAAAGGTTTTCAAAATGGCTAACACGCCTCTCTGCCAGAAAGGCCGCTAGTTCAATGCAGACAGGCATTAACCACCTTGGGTGTCTCCAAATGTAGGATACGGCCCGGTATGTTTTCATATCATTGAAAACATGTTCCACTTTAATCCTTCTACTTGACAAACATCTATTGAACTTGCGAGCGCGCCTTCTGTCTCTCCTATTCAAACCTCGCATTTGTATTGCTCTTACTGGTGTARGCAGTGGATCAACACCAGGATAACCTTTATCAGCAAGAAATTTTGCACCAACGGGAAGGCTCAAGGGCTGTCCCGGTCCTATGGGTGTCCATTATTGTCTATAACAAGTTGCGTGTGGAWGCAGTGGTAATGACGATGTCTGCTGTAAAAGGCTCTCTGAGGTTCTGTGTAAGGCCGATATATCTCGTGCGGTGTGCTGTCGATCGCCCATACTGCAGCTGGAAATTCGGGCCAATTTCCCATAAGATTCGTCCATTCAGCATTATTAGGCCATGAAATTTGATTTTGGAAATGTTGCCACAGCTGAGGTACTACACGAGGTACTACACGATTATTTTGAACAATTTACTGAATTTTCCTGTTTCCCTACCCCCCCCTGCCAACTATCCCCCCCTTGCCCCCCTATTCAATGTCGGAAGATACCCATGTTCAATACCCATTCAAAAATTGATCTCACATGAAACCAACATTGAATGAGGGGGGTTTGGGGAAGGTTTACAGTATATCTCTGAAAGGTACAAAAATATGAGCTTGCCCCGTATAAATATGTCCACCCTTGTCTGAAGTCAATGTACTGATGAATATTTGAAATTGACCAGGAAAGCACGTGCTACATTGTGATATGCCGAAATATTCTATTCATTGTTAGTTGTGCAATTAATGTACTCTTCCAAACCAAACCTTGTATGTACATTAACGTGACGTAAAGACCATTTACGTAATGAATATTGCTTAACGTCAGTGCGTGCATGCGATTTAATCCAATTAAAAGGACAGCATGAATATAAATACTAGCGTATTAACAACAACATTCACATGAAAACCTGCTCGTTATGGCTTCTAACAGAAGAACACCTCAAGCTACTATTTATCTCATCACATATAGTAGAGCAGACCTGAACATCGTACCAGATAGACAAAGTTTTGCTGACATCGTGGTTGAAG